AATTGTGCATATTATTATATAATTATTGGAATTAAATAAAACGATTACCAATTTGAAATTTTTTTGTTAAATAGATATTATAATTTTTTTCAATTATTTATTTACATTAATATTTTTTAAATCAGAATATTTTGTAATAATCAATATTTTGTAATATAGAAGCGTGAAAAATATTGATATCGATACTATCGAATATTAATTTATGTGTCATTATAACATATTTGATGTTTTATTGATTAAATCATAAACATTGAAATAGGTATCAAAAATGTGTTTTAGTGCATTTTTTGTTTATGTCAACGTGACTGGTGGTCACATATTGAATTTTTTTTTTAAACTAAGCTTAATAAATTGTCATCATTGTTAACAAACGTATTACGTAGGATATTTCGAGATGTATTATTTTATTAGAAAATGTGTTTATATGTTGATATTTAAGTATAATTAACGAGAAACTGTAACCTATATTTTACAGATAATGTTTTTGATGTGCTGAGCTAATTTGTGGAACATTTGATGACGACAGTTGCAGACTGTTAGTGTGTACGCGTGCATGCACGTATGTATGTGTGTGTGTCGTCTGTTTGTGTCACCCGCGTGGAATCAGTAAAGTTTTGACGTGATCCGATTACTTGAAAGCGATATACTACCAATTGTACCTACACCGGTACTGCCACTGCCGCTACCGACAACTCCATCATGGAAGTGATGGATTCCGATGCCAACACTGTGTTGCACTCGGTCACCAATGGCGTGAACGTCGGTCCGCCACCTGTAGTCACCTGGCCCGGGATGGACAATGTTACAAACGCKTCCATGTTCGACGAGTCAAATCTGCCGTATGAAATGAAATTCAACGAGGGCCACGTGGTTGCCATAGTCACTTACAGCATACTCATGGTAGTCTCAGCCATAGGCAACATCACGGTGCTGACGATCATACTGAAACGCAGACGAAAGGCTGGCACGAGGATACACGCTATGCTCATGCACCTGGCCATCGCTGATCTGTTGGTAAGATACATCTTGCAATTCATCAATTATATTCAGTTTTTTATTACCTATATATACCTATAATTATATTTTATGAAAAGTCAAATCTACTCAATCCCGCATCGCTTAGAAGTTTATTTACTTATCAAAATGAACCAAAACTATGTGATAAAAATTGTCATTTATACTACAAGATCAGCTTTAAAATACATATAAATCAGTATGGAAAATTTGGAATACGAGTTTGACTAACAAGAATTTGGTATACTTGGGTATCATTTGACTTCAAAAATATAACCAATTATTTTATTTATTATACAGTTAAATGTGATACTCTAATATCCTCAAGAACAAAATTTTCGTACTGAAAAGGTATAGGTTTTATTTAAATTCTTACATATTACAAAAACACATAACTACGACGCGTTCGCAGCCTAGCGGCTATAGCCAGACCGACACTGATAATATCTACATTAAATTATGTATATAATGCAAACCTAATAAATAATTACAACAGTAATTAAGTAAGGTTAGATTTATTAAAAAATAAAAATAAAATAAAATAGTTTAGTATTTAATTTGCTTTATTAAGATTGTGCATGTGTTAAAGTTATAAATATATTAAAAATGATTGAAATTTATTTTATGTATTTTATAACAAAAAAATGCTATTTAGAATAATATTCTTAAAAATTATTAGTCATCGCAATGTATAATGTGTTTAAAAAATGTAATTGAAATTAATTTGTATGTACATTATTTTTATGTTGTAGGTAACGTTTTTGATGATGCCGTTGGAGATAATGTGGGCATGGACTGTGCAATGGATACTCGGTGACCCATTATGCCGTATCATGTCATTTTTCCGAATATTTGGACTATATCTTTCCAGTTTCATATTGATTTGTATCAGCGTTGATAGGTATGCAACTTCATTTTAGTTTCAAAACTTTTATACTTTGTAGTAGTTAAACATCATATTCGCCGTAAAATATTGCATTATATATTATTATCTATTATTATTCCTCTTTTTCCGCTTAATGTTGTTAGTTTTTGAACAAAAAATTTTATTTAGACTTTGTAAACAGTTGGTAATCATAAAGTTAACAAGTTTATGTAAAAAAAAAAAATAAATACATTTAAGCTTTTAATTTTTTATAATAACATATTGTTTAATTTTTGACAAATAATATTTTATGCATCGGCATCATGTGAACTATGTGGCTAGAAAAATTAAGCCTAGTCTCAGTTTAGCACTTAAAAGCCATTTTTTGATATTTTAGTAAGGTCGTTYTTTATACTTAATAATTATACAGTAAATAAATATCTATAAGTATTTTTTTTAAAAGCCGTCTAACAACATTTTATAAACTAATAATAAATATCTCGTCATGTTTATTTTGTTTGAATTTAGTATAAGTTAATTTGTTTGTATATATTTTAATATAATATTACCTAATACCTATGTATATTTAAATATCTAATGGTATCATAAACAAATCTTTTTTTTATTTTGTCAGATTCTGGTCGAAGTGAGGAATGTATTGATTTTACAGTGATGTATGTTTTTTTTTGTGTCTATCATCACGTTATGGAGTAAAAATAATGCTTTAATTTTTGACTTCAGTTTCCCTTTGAAAAGGAAAATTCATCATCTCGTTGATACTTTGGAGAAGTCAAAAGTTTAAAATGTACAGTAGTTTTCAAAAGTATCAGAAAAAACCCTAAAAAAGTAACGAAAAAAAC